TTTTTTTTTTTTTTTTTTTTTTTTTTTAATTTTCCTTTCTCTGTTCTCACACCTGATCCTGCCTTTCAGAGCAAGGACAGTAAGAAGAATCAAAGATCCTTCAAGCGTGGTATAGAGTATCATGGGTTAGGCACTTTAGTCTTCTTGCAGTAGCAAGTAACTTCATGATCTACCTTTATCCAACTACATCAGGTGCCTGCTTACCCCGGTGTTATCAGTGTAACCAGCTCCATTTCTGAGGCACAGTTAACATGCATTCAACTGATAGCCCTCCCCACTGCTGTGCCACAGAACGCATTAATACCTTCATTCTCCAAAGTGTGGCAGCTTCTGAATCATCACTGACGGTATCTCAAGAGGTCAATAAGGGTACCACAACAGTCTGTTCTGCTTGAAAAGAATGACTGGTCCTGGTAAGGGGAAGTGATCATAGGAAATATGTGCCTTTTCCAGACAATGTCTAGGTGGCAACAGCCTGCTCAGCCTTCACACAGAGACATTAGAAACCGATATATAAATACTTTTTCCTCCTCTAACATCATAGCACCGTTTCTAATTAACCCTCCCCTTTCTGCCCCAACAATTTCAGTCTGGGGGAAAAAAGCCAAAGCAGCATGTATGTAAGATGTCTCCAGATTCTCAGCACCCATTTGGTCCGGTTCACTAGACTTATAAATACTATAAAGAACACTGCAAAGGCAAGGAATTACACTGAAGATTTTTTTTTCCCCTTATAATCCAAGGTTTCAACAATAGGTTTATTATTCCCAGACAATTCATTTTGAAAGACAGTATTTTAAATAGATTATCACAGGTCCTCTTCTCTTATTTTCTCAAATACACAGTCGTCTTCATTTGGCCTAACCAAAAATCTTTTCCTTGATATAAAACCCGAATGAACTACCTGTAGTGAAACAAGTAAACAGTTAAAAGAGTATATGCATTTCAGCAATTATAGATAGTTACAAACATAAGCTAGAAAATCTGACATGATACTGTTCAGGTGTACTGGTTGATCTCTTTACATTGGCATTTCAGAGAGAACAGATTTTTTTTTCTGTTGGAATACAACACAAGAACAGTAGTTTCTGCTCTTAAGGTTTATTGCAATGTGCTACATGTGGTGCAGATTGAACGGCAGTTCCAAATGTGCTAACATCGATGTTATTTGGCATTATAGTGGCCACAAGGACATAGGTACAGGTACTTTAACTGCCTACTCGGCCTTCTGAATTAGATTGACTACTGTTGGTCACACATTCTTAACTTTAACCATAACACCTGCATAAATGATACCTTTCAACTCTACTTTTCCTAAAGGGTACCATGTACTGTCTGAAACTTCCTAACACCACATCACCCAGCAGGTATAAGCAGACAAACTATAAGCACCCAAGGTACAAGCAGGCAAACTATACCCTTACATCGCACGTATCTCCAGTTTTCTGTTGTACTACAAAAATTTATGGCACAAATTTTTCTTCTGCCTCTTTCAACATGGTATTTTGATATATATGTAAAGTAAATGTCCTGAAAAACCCTACTAAAAGTGTCCATCACAAAGCTATGGCAATGCAATAACTAACATTAAGGCATTAGGGAACTGGAGCCAAATTTTGCATAGATTATCTCTGTAGAAGTTACTTCTACAACAGCAAAATTGCCTAGATGCAGGCACATTCTACAGCACAGCCTCACTATCTGCAAAGTCCACCTATTGCATACTAGTTAAATAATTTTTATCTCAATTCAAAAGACTGTTCTTGGTATTCCTACTAAATCTTACTGCTGCACTAGATTGTCTATTCAAACAAGACTTTACAGGCTGTTATGCTGATCTGGTAGTATCAGTATACTGCTACAGGATCGCAAAGAAAACCAAAGTTAAGTTTTTCTTCTCATGAGCCAGCAGAAAATACTTGGCGTGTTTTCAGAGTCTTCGAACAGCAGTAAGTTAAACTTTCCACCAACTTGGAGCAAAGACTTGTACGACTCTTGGGGATAATAATGACAAAATTGTAAAGACCCAACTCAAATGACACTTTCAAATGAGAATGTGCAAAGATACACTTCTAAGACATTTTTCAAGCGTCTTGCAAAGAGACATAGAGGAATAGGAAAGGAAGTCTTAAGAACCTTAGAATTGCAATCACAGCATTTAGAAGTTAGCTAAGCATAGTTAAGATTTTATATTAATTGTCTGTCTAATAACACAGCTTGGTGCATGAAGACCTAAACCAGTTCAAACTTGGTGTATAGAATGAGGCACATGATGCCATACTATCACTGTTTAACGCAACAGCATACCTTGACTCGCTTTAACAAACAACTCCATTCTAATTATCAGCTGTAATTTTCTTAGTTCACTGAGTTTCGTATCAGCAGCCAGACACTGCACCAGCAAGACACAGCTGATAAGCTCAGTGGTTTTACATTACCCTGTCCAACACTGCTCTCCTCACAAAAATTCGGAGGGAGCATTCGCAGTCCATCTTGCTCGCAATCGAGGAGGTATTTTAAAGTATGTTCAAGTCAGAACAACTGCCTCAAGCCCAGAGTGCCATGCAACTTAGTCCTTGCTAAAGTTGTACCACAGCGAGGCCACTGAACTGCATCCTTCAATCTTCATCACAGATGCAAGTCTATTCAGAAAGTGTTGTCTCCCTTATTATCATTTGCAAGTTATTTGTGAATACTGAAGGCCACACCGAACCTAGAATCTTGTCTCCAGTAGTGACAAGTACGGAGCACTTCAAAGAAAGGGACAAGAAAACCCACCACACAGGTTAATCGATTTGCTTATTGAAGAGCAGTTAGTGATTGGTTTTATGCTGTTTCTGAAGATAGGGCAACATTACTTTTTTCTGAGTTCAGGTTAGATTTTGGTTCTCTCTTTTAGAAATATTTCCCCTTTGGCCAATCACACACTGTAATAGAGGTATTTATTTTAATTCACTTTACGTTATTCCCTTTCCATTTATTTATTATCTCCTATTCAACAAATTGCTTGGAAAAGCAACATCTTTTAGCCATTTAGCTATTCAGGAACTATTAGCTATGAATACTGATTCCAGCAAATGAACTTGGAATTACATCTTTTACATGATAGGAATGTATATGTATAGATATGTAACATGACAAGTTTTGCAAATGGGTACAATTCCCAACTACAGGGAAAAAATGCATAAACAATCCCAGTACGGAATCCAAGTACAAGTCTGTAAACTACATCAGCAGCTGCATGTGGATATACACACATGATCTCTGTATATATTCTGGCTTTCTGTAAACTTCAAATGTCTCATTCAGAAACACTTGCAAAAAGCAAATAAAATGAAGCAAGTTGTCATTAAACCCATGAAACTAAAATAAAATTTTTATTCAGACACGTTTCTTACCCTCTTCTTCCTTCCAAAATTCAAGTTTAGCTCCTTTTTCTACCCAAAGAACTTCCCATTAAACTTATTAGTGAGTCTCCCTAACCAGAAAAACAGAGGTTGGGCTAAACACCACTAGCAAGCAAGACACACTGTATTTACATTTTGGAGACAATTTCTCACTCACTAACCTGCTTTTCTTGGATGCTGGATTTCTTACTATTTTTCGTGGATTCAGGCATCTTGATCTCCTAAAGAGATTGAAAAATCTAAACTTAAAATAAGCTTAAATGCTCCCTCAAGTACTCTAACAAAATATGCTAAGCAAATCAGCATTCAGTTAAACCCAGCAGAAAATGTAGGAAATGAACTGGCATATTTACCCTTCTCTCATAATTCTGTTTTAGTCTAAGCTATCTGAGTACTATCAACAGCTGAATATTTAAGTAATGAATGCTCATCTTCATAAAGGTTTACTGTACTTCCATTACAAATAAACTTAGAATGAAGGAGAAAAAATCTTTTCCAAAATTAAAGTTGGTCTTTCCTTCTGAATTGCTTACAGTTTAAAGCTATGAAATAACATGCTGTTCATTGCCTCATTGCTCGCTGTAATCAGCATGGGTCTAGAAGATCACACAAGTCGCTTTCTTTTTTTCTCTTCAGAAGTTTTCAGTTAGCAGACATTCAAAGTCTTTAGATGTCACAAGGTTAAACAAAGGCATTATTAATGCTGGAAATTATTTTTAAAAATAACAAGTATCTAAACATATTTTCACCCTTAAAAGCCTACACAAAAGACAGCAGAAGTATTTTAGCTACAAATCAGATTTTTGTTCTATTAACACTTCTATTTAAAACCAAAAAGTTTCTCAGTGTGAATGTCACAGATCCCAAATTGGTCTAACATTGCAGCAGATGGAGCAAGCAAGGGAAGTGGTGAAAAAGTGAAAGCCAGAAACAGATAAAACAGGGTAGTGCAGAACATACAAAAATTATGCCATAGATATCCTTTATCATATGCGGCAAAAATTAAAGTCAAGGAGAGAATGCAAAACAGATTATTAAAACTGCAATGATAAACCATCTTTAACATTCAGATTATTATTTCAGTAAAACTGAGCAAAGATGTACTTTTTAGCCAATTAATTCCGTACTGAAATGTGGAACATGCAAGATCCTTTTCCTCAATGGGACTTCTCTCAGCACATTTGAAAGAATGATAGAGTAGCAGGCTTATTTCTTTTGAATACAAATTCAGATACCAACGTACACACATGCTTACCATTTTTTGGCCACCTTTGGCTGCCTTCATCATCTGTTCTGATATCATTTTCTTCAAGCAGCTACTGAGCAAAAAGGCCTAAAGAGGATAAATCAAAGAACATTCTGATTTCTTCCATTAAAAGATGTACTTGACTCTTCCATTCCTCCTCCGCCAGAAAATTACAATCCCTAACTACTGAACTATTACTTCCCTAATTCAGTTAATTTTACGCTGTGCTTAACATCCCTACAGTGCACCAAACTAGCTGCAGTTGCTTAAAGCCCAGCCTCAGCATGACTAACCCTCATGGCACTGCTCAGAGCAGAGAATAAGAATTTTTATGACTGGTTTTGTGAAGCAAGTTATTCTCTCTAGTTGTCTGTGGCTCCTACCTTAAAGGCTGGTAAATTACACCAAAGGCTAAGTAAGGTTAATCAAATGTGGCACTATCGGCATCAAAACCACTTCAACAAGTGAAGCAAGCTGGAGTTCACAGGCACTCAGCACTGCTGAAAATCAAAGCCCTGGTGGTTACACAAGATGGCTGCAACTGTTTGTAGACCAGCTCACAGTCACATCTTGCACAGCTAATACGAATGGAGCAGTACGCCTTCATCCCGCATATTAGGTATCTAGCAGAGGCACCTCAGAGAGGAGTGAAGTTGTTCTCAGTTCCTTATGCTGTCCAATGAGCATGTACAACTCTGTGGGATAATGCAGCCCAAGTTAAGGTCTGAATTGCACCCTGGAGATGCACCTTACTACTTACTCTCCAAAAGGAAGAGTCTCAGGTAGAGCGTCAAGCACCGAGAGATGAATCAAAGACAAAATATCCTACAAGATCAGTGAGGGAGGGGGGAGCCATCTCTGACTAAGCTCCAAATCATCCAGTCTTTCCATTTTCTGCAGTGGGCTCTTGGATCAAACCCTTTTTTTCTTCCACACAGCAGCACCTTTCCAGCCTTTAGCTCTTCCTCACACTTCTGAGGCAAGTGGGACACAGGTTTTTTTAATCAGCAAGTCACTACAACAAGCACAACCCTAACAGATTTCACAGGAGAATTAATACTGAGGTAATTCTAGGTTTTTTGTTCTCCAATAGCAAAGAAACTAGAAAGCTTACTGCTTGTGGCTCATGTTCTCATAAAACTTAAGCGTGGCAGGAAATTAACACTTACTAAATAGCTGTGTGAACTGCATCATCACCCCAGAATTCAGAAGTCATGTGTGAGAAATTAAGCATTTTGATTTTACTTGAAAAATCCTGTCTGCTGCTGGGTGGGTCTCAGAGGCAAGAGAAGCAGTTTACTTGAATAACAGGCTCTATACTTTTTATAGAAGCTCCGTACCTAAACTGAGACTGCTGCTGTCTTTGATACTGCAGAGCCTAGATTATTTGCTAGGCAGCATAACCACAGATGGATGACTTGAATTCCTGGATACCTTTCTCTTTAAAGAGCTGCCTGAAAATAGTGGGAGGAATGGCACCCTATAAAGTCTTATTTAAGAATTATTTATATGTAGAAAAAACACATGATGTTACATATTCACACCTGCCATTAACCTGGGTTAATATGGCATATATTTATATTTGAACAATAGGATTCATTGTGGAAAATGGAGCCCTTGACCTTAGCTGGGTCTGACCAATTAATGATTTTGGTTACTTACTGAGTCCAGTAAATAAATGGCACCTCTCCACACTCCATCCCAGGCTTGCTGCTGAGTGCTAGACATTTCTCTTCAATGGAAAAAAAATCCTCTTCGCTTTTATATTAGAAACTCAAATGCTTTTCCCCAGATAACTCTGTCCCTAGGCTAACCTGTTTGAAAGCATAGCCACTGCACTCTGGTAGAGATAGACTAACCACTTTTGAAGATCCCCGTGGCTGTAAGATTACATTTTACTCTGATCCTTTCCTAACAGGACAGAGAACTAACCTGTTTTGTGTACAAAATTATCCATTGCCATGTGCCTGAATCATTGTACTCAAATCTGAGCTCCAGAGTGTCTTCTTCACCATCCTTTGTAGCACCCTGAAAAAACCCCCATAAAACAAAAAAACAAACAATGAACAGAAGAAACAGCTAAAAACAGCATTAAGGTGTCCGCCTTAAATCAGAATTAGTCAGTTAGGTTCATTTTATACAATATATAAATAAAACAGCTGAAGATCTGTACCAGAACACTTCTCCTGGGGGAGGGAGCAAGTGGGAGGTAGGAAGGGGGAGTCTTTACAAGCACAAAGCTGGCTAAAGCAGTTCTTTTGCTCCCACACAAAACTCTGACAACTCTACCTCCAACAGGAAAGGAAAGGGGTAGGTAAAGAATGACATGGAATGCCAGGGAAGGGAGAAATAGCAGAGGAAGGCTAGATGGTTTACTGCTGTAAAGGCTGCCAAGGGAATATGTTTCAGGACAGGTTTGGAGGGGAATATGGGCAAGTGGGAGGGATTTAAAACAGAGCACTCCCCCCCGGACCTGCCCTTCTCCTGACAACCTTAGTTTTCATGAAGAGAAAGTCAATTCAGATACAAAGTCAATGAAGTACTTACAAGAGAAGTAACCTGCCAACTTCTTAACCTGTTGATTTTAAAGCTGACCTCTTTGGTCTGATTAGTAGGCAGTTTTATGCAGCAGTTAATCTCATTATTGCCAACATAGATGTCAGCTGAGCAGCCTTCTTCTGGATAGTCACAAATGCAAGGATCAAGCCGTACATATCCATAGAACCGCATTTCTCGAATCAACTCCAGGAACTGCACCAAAAAGACAGAACTAAAGCAATTTGCTGTAAAAGTGAGTGAAAACTAGTGATTTGGAAGACGTCACTCACAGTCCAGACTTAGAAACTTGATTTTTTTTTTTTACTGGGTATCATGAGCTGGGTCTTTTGGATGCTTATCAGATATAATGATGGGAAGAGAAAAAACTAACCAGTAAGAAATACTGAGAACAGCAGTCCCAGCAGTCTGAATTTCCATCTGATTTCCTGAACTGGATGACAAACCTTTGCACCTGAGTTTAGCAGATAGAGAAGACTAGCATTCACAGTCTTGATAGCCCTTGGGATCCAAGTCATTCTGTTGAGATATTTTAAAATGCTAGCAGAGATGGGAACCTCCTTTTCTATTTGGTGGCTCAGTATCTGACCAGGAGATGGGAGACCTGGGTCTCTAGCTCAAACCAGTCCACAAAACCATGCCCTGTTTTTAAAGTCGCAGCCTCTAGTATCGTTGTTTCAAAAACCACTCCTTTTATCTGTTTATATTGTTTTTAAAATACCATTTTACCTTTGCTTTGTTTTCATTTTTTTGTAGAAATTCAAGTTCCTGCATCTGCCCTTCTGTTGGTTTAACCCAATTCCTCTTAACTTCCTGGATTGCCTTAAAAGAATTTTTAAAAATAGCAAAAAAGTCAGCAAAAATACATTTCCTTTCACACACAAACATTCAGAAACACACACACAGAGAAAGCTTTTTTTTAAAAAAAAAAAAAAAAAAAGGCCTTTGATTTTGGACAAGTTCATTCTACACTGTTCTTTCCTCCTGAATTAATAGTTTCCAAAGCTCGTACAACTCAACACACCTACAGCTCAGAAATCAAATGCTCTCATATCATGGCAGAGTGCCTACATATTAGAGACATACAGATGCATACATACACTTGAAAATAGAGTGGACAGATACCTAAATATGTCCTTTTTGTGCAATACTTTTCCCATGCACAAAACATAGTTAGAATCTCCAGTACATGAGTTTGAAGGGAAAATAAAAAATTAACATGATCAACAACAGTTATACCCAGCACTTAGAAAAGCGCAACACAGCAGTGCTAAACAGGAACCATTTACAAACATTTCAAGAATTTGTATAAAAGATGAAATTAATGTGGGAAAATTAACTTTTAAAGTTACAAAGACCTTTCAGTTTTACCTGCATATATAGCAAATTCAGTGAAGCTCTACAATCCATCAGCCGTGTATCAAGAGAAGGATCCATATACCTTTTCCAAGCCAAGGGAAAAAAGTAGTAAAATATGAAGATATGCATCTAAATATGGTATTTTGATTTTTCAGCTAAATATGATGGGAGCACAACCCAGAAAGATCCCATTACTTACCAGATTTAAAAAAAACCAAACCAAAATGAAAAAACCAGTTGTACCCTTGAAGTCTGTACTGTACTTATTCTTTATACGTTGTAGCAGAATGGAAATAAACTAAAGTCAGGTTATCCAATCTCTCCACTTTGATTTTGGTGGTACCAAACATAACAGTTTCAATTTAGAACTAAAACTTTCCTCCTCCTTTTCTCAAACAACTCAGTGTTTGTCTACATAAGAGTTGGTAAGACTCTCAGAGCATCTACTGACATGCTGCAGTGCTGACATACAAGACCTAGCCTTAAGCTAGCTAGCTGCAGTACCAACTGCTGTAGAAGTGCTGCAGGATCAGATCAGTACAGCAACAAAGCAAGTTAAATAGTTATCTAAGTGCCATGCTGCAACAGCTAGCTTGAGCCATTTTATTTAAAAGCAGCTTGGGTAAGTCTACATGACAGTACAAACAGAGCAGTGTGGGCTCCATGGCTAGTACAGCTGTATTACTCGCATTGCACAGGCAATACGCTTCCTGCAGCACACAAACAACCCCAGGACTGCCATTTCCTACCTCTGTGCTTTGAAGCAGTGCTAGGTAGAGAAGTATCTACTCAGACAGTCACTTTGTCATGGCTTAGAACCATGCAGTTCTTTCATTAGGCTGCTAGGTTCTGCAGTTTATAAGGGCACATATAGGAAAACAGAGAAAGCTTTGTCGAGGCCAAGCTCTAGCCCAGTAGATTTAACAACAGACAAGTTACAAGCATCAAACAACGGATTTCTGTGTACCTTCAAGCCAAGTAACCTTGCTTGCTGCCACTAAAAGGCACGGTCTGTTCTTCCTCTTCTGCTCCCAACCACGGTTCTTGCTCTAGCATTCATCTGATGCAGCCAATGGAACTCACTAAGCATGCAAAAATCTATTCCCTTTTTTCTTTTTCATTGTAGGGAGAAGTAGACCAGACCACAACCACAGCAGTGAGCCATTAGAACTGGCTCAGCTATACTGCCTAACTGCACCCTCAGGGCACTGTTTGACAAGCGGGACTTTGGCACCAGACTCCCTGTCCCCAGGGTTTATCCTCACCCACAAGTCAGCACAACTGTTTGCTGTGCAGCAAACAAGACTGGGGGACTGACCCAGGCCAAAAATAGGCCAGCAAAACCAAATAAAAAAATAAACAGCCAGCAACTTATTTTTAGGCCAGGCTAGCTCGCCAGTCCAGTTCACCATGTCTGCCTACACAGTTCTACCAGCATAACTGAGGAGGAGCCTGAGGTGTGAGCAAATGAAAGGGGAAGAATGCTCTGCTGCTTAAGCCAGGCCACCTACCAAAAGAAATGCTCAAGCTACGGCCTCAGGTATTGCGTATTAGTATACAGAAATGAGCACTTCAGATAAAAAGTAATCCATCTCTGCCCAAACAGAGTTGCAGCTTGCAACTCAGAACTCAAAGTTCTCTTCTATATTGTTTACGGGTATATTACCATTTGTAGTCACTGCATTATGCAGGCATAAAAATTAGGAGGCAAGCAGCCACAAAGCACCTCTCTATAGATTCTGAAAGAGAGGGAATAAATAGCTAGCTGCAGTAAAGGACGCTTCAGGAATACTACAGTGATAAAATTTAAAACATGCAAGGCCACAGAAACCAGTTAATTCCAATAACAAATTGGCCTCAGAGAAAAACAGTCAAGCTGCTGAGGCTTGAAGACTTTGTAACTATCAAGAGATTTCTTTCTCTGTTCATAGTTGTCATGCATCTTGGTAGTTTCTTTTAAGCTTCTTGCTTACCACTTTCTGATCCCAAGCTTACAGTGCAACTCTTTCATGCTCTGAAGACTCACATACGGAAGTTCAAATTCTGCCACTTTTGTCACCACTAGGAAAAGAAGAAAAACCAGAGACATTTGGTGAGATCTAGTGAAATAGCCCAGCTACTTTCATATATCAGTTAGTGCTGGTTAGCAATGTGCTGTTAGAGAAGAAAAAACTTAACAAATATAAATTCTGGGGTAAAGTAAGGTGACAGGTTAGTTATCTTCCTCACTTCTCTGAGTCTAAACTTACATAGCTCTATTACTTACAGAATCGCTCTACCCCCTTAGACCATACTCACATAGAATATCCTTCTCTCAAAACACAGCTAAGCAGGATAGATATTTCTGCATTTAAAGGATGTGTGGATGCAAGCTTCCAGGACTGGTGCTTTTCTTGAACAGAACGTCAGACAAGAGCAGTATAACTAATGTACAGCAAGAAAAGCATGTCATTCTTCAGTGATCACTACTTTCCTGCTCACTTTTTTAAAAAAATATAGGTCTAAAGGCCCAAACCTGTAAACATTTATTTCTAAGCCAATACCACAATTCAGCAGAACACTTAAACATGTGATTTTAAGCACGTGAGCATCTAAACATCTTTTGGCAGTGGACTGTGGGTTACATTTGGACTTGATGTATTTGTGAGGAATATCAAAGATGCATAGAAATGTAATCAATTGAAAAACATTTCTATTCTCCTGTGTATCTGATTATATCACAATACAAGGCAAAAATAAATCCATCTGCAACTGCAGTAGAAGAGTATATAGTGTGTTATATCCAGATACATTTGAGACATAGTAATAGCCAGGGATTCTGTGCACTCAGAGATACTTTTCACAGCCAGAGAGAAAGGGGCAGGGGAATGATAAATAGAATAGACACAGACAGTGAAGTTCCTACCCTACTGAGTAAGCCCGAGTTTACTACTGGACCTTCATCTTGAAAAGGTTCAGAAGAGTATTAACATCTTTATGCCAATAAGACGACTGAAAAAAGCTAAATGAATTGTCAAGGCCACACAGAGAGGCTGCAATGCCTAACTTTACTCCAGTCAACAGCAAAGACCGTGTTCACTCCCCTGATGTGGCCCAAGCCTATCCCAGTCCCAGGCCTGGATCCAGTCTCATCCAAACACCCGCCCACATGGGAAACAGGACATCAGCAGACCAATGAGGACATAAAAGCCCCTTCACATTTTATGATCATAAAGAGACTCACAACCCTGATTTACAGCTTGCTCAGTACCATCATGGTTAAACAAGTTTCTATCAGTTAAGAAAGGAAACATGTCATGATATAAAGGAAAGTAAGCCACAGACATTGTTTATAAATATAACAAAAGAGTTTCCTGTTCCATTGTTAAACTCAGCATGTGATCTGTAAACTAAGAACTGTTTTATGTAGGTATGGCCATCTGATTAAATGCCTACCCAGAAGTTCCCATGTGGTAAAGTTGCTAACACACCTTGTAAACTGAAAGGGACATGATAGTCATATGCGAAAGTCTCACCCCTGCACCACACTATCTATTGCCATAATTTGTTACCCACCACCACTCTTTCCAAGCCATGTGGGGAGAGGGCTTGAGGGGGTTTATCAGACAGGGTGGGTCTTTCAGCCTGAGCAGGCTCATGCAAGCTCTGTTCACACTCCAGGTTCAGTCACTGCAGCCAACAGAACAAATCCAAGGGAGGGCTAAGTTAAGCACCTTGTAAAACTTACCAGAGAGCGCTCCATCATCACGATCTTGGAAGAAAAATAAACTAAAATATTTTATTAATTCTCTTGATAGCCCCATCTTGCAAAATGTGACCTTTAAAAACAAAGAAGGTCAGAAGCTTAGCTATCCATTAGCATGAATAAGGAAGAAATGTTCAATACCTATTAACGTAACTTAATTGTTTTTAATTTTTCCCCTTATGTCCCATTTAACTGCACATTTTAAAGCCAATATAACCATTCCCGTATTGCAGCATTTGAGTTTGTGAGGAGTTTCATAAGTTTCAAGGGAACATAAAAATGTAATAAAATAACAAATGTTTACTACTCTGCCATGCATTTAAAAATCCTCTAACACAAGGCATCTGCCATGTTATTCCAGATCTTTACTACTAAATCCTCAAATCCTGTTGTACAGCGAGCACTGTGTGCTCTGAGCTAACAACATTGCTCAAGAGCATCACAAATATGTATTTTTCCAAGATTTGTGTATTTTCCAAGCTGATAGAGTCCTCTTGTTTTTCTAGGAAATATCTAGAAGTCCTGCCCCTTTACTGAAAGTACCAGTCTTACTTGTAGGGTTTTGCAAGTGAAGGCTTCTGACAAGAGCAGACTTGAGCTCTGTTGAGTTTTCATTGACAGCAGCTAAGGAAGAAAAACCCTATCCAGCTTGACATTTGGATTGTTTTTAGCTTGCTGTGGCCCCTCTACATCTTCTCTGAAAGAGGGAAGAATTAGCACCAACAGAAAATGCAGAAATTATTTGCAGGACCAGCTGCACAATGGGAAAGAAAAATCAGGCAGAGGTGAGCACAGAAACCGCTGAATCAGGCTGGAGCAATTGTCTTGTTCTGTTTTAGGCACTGAAAAATCAAAGCATAAGTTAAAGCAGCCATAACCTAAAAGAGCACAGTGCCATCAGAGCATTCCTAAACTCTGCAGTGACCATAATCTCCTGAGCAAACTCAGGAAAGTGGTGTGGCAACTGTAAGAAAACTCTCCACCCCTGAGAATACTTCTGTCATAGCTCATCTGGCAGATTGTGCAACCTGATAGAGGAGTCATGCTTTGGTCAGAGAAGCTGGACTTCCTTTGTCTGAGCGTAAGGTGGAAATACCGGTTTTCAGTCTTCTTCCAAAGGGTGCCAACTCTAAAACACTTCTAGCTCTGTGTCACAGTGACAGCATTGTAAATTCACTCATCTCCACGGTTCAGAAGGGTTTTCTCCAGCTGTATCAGCTGGTTTAAAAAGCAGACATGTTTCCATTCATAGAAAAAAAAGTAGACATCAAGCTAAATATAGGCTGGGAAGAATTGTTCCAAGCTAAAATTAAAAAAAAAAAAGACACATTCATGACGTTTTCCTTATACTTGTTAATATCAGGGCTGTTACCGGAGAGGGCAGCAGAGCATAAAAATCACTCGCCTCACACTCAGTTCAGACACCAGGTATAATGGGAATAAAGTTTCAGAAGTCCAAACACAGAAGACAAAACATGAATATTAGCAGCACCATCTTTCATTCTGTCTGCTTCTTTGCTAAGAAGTCCCCACAAATTACTTTAAGAAGTTAGCCACAGAGCTTCAATATGTTATCCCTTAGTAGCATAATACTAAGCGAACCAGATGGCATTTCCCAGGAATGTCAAACACAGATCTCTGATTCAGTAGGATTTTGACTTATTTTATTTCTTGGATCAAAGCACAAGCTGGTATATGCTGCCTGAATACCAGGATGTTAGGGAGTGATGGCTGCAAAATCTACCTCCACTGCAAAAGAACAGTGAATGTGGTAGCACGTTTACAATGACGAAAGCTAAGTAATTCCTAAAAATCCTAACTCATCTTTAAGATCACAAGAGAAGAAAAGGTGTCTGCAGCATTTCAAATGTCATTGTTTCTTTACAGTGCCACATTAATATTAAACATCTATAAATGCAATATACAAAGCAACATACAACACCACTGTCTGGCTTGAAAATTACCTTGACCCACTGCAAAACTAACAAGTTTATCAAGCCCAAATTATTAGTATTTTTTAAAGTATATTAGCAAATCCTTTCCTTACGTAAGGTCCCTATGCAAGTCTCCTATCTAAAAATGTCTCCTTACTTCTTCCACCCTATTAGCACCTACCTTCCCTCTCCCCAAATCAAAATTCCTATCTCCCTGCCACCCCCAACACTTTTTGCCTTCAGCATCTCCCACCCCACAAGTGTCCTGTTGCAGGGTCTAAGGCCAACTCTGACACTTACCTTACCCTGGAAGAACCGGTCCCAGCATTGCCTCAGGTGGTGCAAACCCCATGGCAGAACAAAGCTGGCAAGGGGTTATCCTGTGTTACCCAACTCATGGTAACTGTGCACAGATACTGTGTGTTCTGCGGCCAGACTAACACACGTCAGCTTGACGGAGGAGAGCAAATACACGTTCAGCTCACTTGTACCTATGGCCAGCTGAGAACTACCTCCACAAACTCATTGCAAAGGCACAACAGAAATACAGTACACAATTTCCTGTACAATGAGAGGAAATTTCAGATTTCCATGACAAAGAAGAGTACCCATCTGGCAGGTGTATGCTTTGTCATTGCTGTTAAGATTAGGAAACGGGAACAACTGAGAAAGAGGCTTCGGCCTTACTCATGCACACACGTGCAAATACACAAAATATGCAGAGCCACTGCTGCTCCTCCTCTCCTGGCATAAAAAGGGAACCCCAGCTGAAAGTTTCAAACACAAGCCAGCCAGTTGTGTAAACAACATTTGGTTGCTACTGGTTTCAAAATGTAACTAGCAATTGTTTACTGTATGTATTACAACAGCTGTTACAGACATCCCAGAGCCACAGTACTAGAACTGCACCAATACTGCAAAGGAAGTCCCACGGTTTCACAGCAAACATCAAGGGACAGAAAACAAGTAACAGAGAAGCGTGCAGAACAAGACGTATCAGTTGCACACTAAGTTTTAACAGCAGTGCACCAGCTAAGACATAAGCCAAGACTAGACCATCATCTCTGACTACAGTGTTCAAGCGCTTTCACCCACACTGTGCTAAACCAAAGTGGGAGAGTAATTAAGAATGTGTCCCCATAAGGAATAATATATATTTTCTAATTCTATCATATATGAAGGAAACCTGAACTTGACAGCCAAATGCCATAGGAGCAGAAGGCGTGTAACATTAAGAGGTAAATTATGGACAAATGTAAAAACCAAAAGAGCCCATCTGCAGAATCAGCAACGCCCCCACCCCCTCGCCCTGGTACAATAAACCCCTCATATGTCTTCAAATAGGGAGTTTTATCCTTTCCTGACTGAAGTGATCTTCATTTTTACCCACTTCTTACAAATGGAAAATTTCAACACAATTCTAGAAACCCATTACCTCTAATATTCTTTGTGCAGTGTCCGATGTCTGAATATCAAGTCTAATATTACTGCCGTCAGCGAGGTAGACATCCAGAAAGGCTCCCTGGGTTTGGATCTCAAACGTATCCTGTTAGGTAGAAACAGAACACTGTTCTATTGCTTTCCATATTGCTGGAGCCCTTCTGAAGATGCTGATGCTCCATTTCCTCAAGTAAAATAAACAATTGAGATGACTGTTTAGTAAACAGTAAGTTACTAAAATTACTGTCAAAGCTTGTAGATGACAAAAAAAAACATACGCAGAACAGCAAGTGAGAAGATACTGCAGAATTAGAGGAGGGTCACTTTGATGTTAAGCTGAGCACAAGTTACCTAGTGTCTCAATGCCTGTAGGAACAACACAGTCACTGTCCTAGGAAGTAGAGACTTGAAAAAGAGGAGGTGGATAAACAGCTGCATGTGAATATTCAAAGCCACAATCTTGCCAAAAGGAAAAAAATCTCCAGTGAAAAACAGAGGCTATGGTATCTTAATATACCAGAGCTACTGGAATACTGCTCAGTGCCAGTGCCCAAGGTCCAAAACCACCGCAAATGGAGAGGGGATATAAAGAAGAAACCTGAAAGCTTTTAGGTCATGAAAAAACAGGTCTCAAATAAGTGACCTCAGAGAGCTGTCTTACGTCTAGACACAAAGGAGTGATTTGCAATCTGGAAAAACTAAAGTACAGAAGCCAGATCCATTGGCTGGCAGCTGATGATAGACGCAGTCAGAGTAGAAGTAAAGCACACATTTCTGACCATGAGGTAGCGCACAGGAATGGGGTATTCTCCACTGGTTTTATATCAAGACTTTATATTTCCTTAAAAGACTTTCCTGAGCTCAAACTCGGAAAGCCTCATGCTTTGCTATGCATGAAAAGTCAGTTACTTGTTTCAAGAGGATGGAGACTAGTTTGAGAACTCCCTTGGGGATGCATCTGGATGAGGTGGCAGAAACTCATCCCTGCAGCTCCTCTTCCTGTTGACTGCCCTGGATCAGAGGACAGCAATGGTCCTTCTGGCATTTTTATTAATTAAGGAGAGGTACTTCCCTTGAGATTCATAGTGGAGGAAAATGCTGTAATTGTACATACTGTATGTAACTTTAATTTTTAATTTCTTGTATCCACCTTTGCTAGCCTGGTGGAATATATGGGAGACTCCCTGGGAGCCCTTAGGTTTCAAGTATTCTCAGTATCTTGCTGCCTGTATATAGGAGCATCTCCTGACTCCTGCAATGTCAGCAAGAGCAGGGTGGCAGGGCTGACATTTATGCTGTGTGCTCCATTACCCCTCTTTTGGGTACCCTGGAGAACATGCTAGGACACATGACTCCAATTAACTAACTCAGCTCAGATTGGTAACCTTTTGGGTCAGAAAGACCACATTTTCTAGTAAATCTGGCTTAATTAAGAGTTATTTCAAGGTAAGATCAAATGCAAACAAAAAGTGTTTTCTTTCACAACATCTAAAAATTAAGAACATGTTGTCAAAAGTTTGTAGAATGATATGTGGGGAAAAGAGGTCTTGAGGAAAACCAAAACAAAACAATCTTTCTTATTTAAAGAGACTTCCCACAGATTTTCCTGACACCTAGTACTTCACCTAGCTGCATGCCTACACATCTGTTTGCACATATTAAAGAACAAGAGAACCTCTTCTCAAGGCATTAGCCAATGCCCTGTCTGAAGTCCCTCTGGGGATCCACACAGATTTAATCTTTATCCCCAAACTAATTTCCTTCTTATCCAGGAGACAAGTCTAGTCATTCCTCTTAATTAAAATAAGCATTACTTTGCTTCTGTGGAGATACAAAAGCCCCCCTCTCTCTTACATCGAGGATCATCTCCTGTGCTTACCTGAGTACTTTACTACTTTCCTCAAACGGGAAGGAGCAGACACTTCCTCAAACGCCTTTGGTGCACATATTTTGGTATGAAACATTTCACATGTGGTAAAAATGTATGTGAAACTTGGAACAAACATGGGATGCAAGCATCAGAATGAGATAAAGACATGTAACTCATTACTGACTCTCAACGAAGAGCAAACAGGTCACTATATAGCCAGTTTACTATCCAAGACTCAGCAGTGCTGGGGGGTGAAGGCCAGTGCAAAGGCTTGTGCGCCGCAGTAAGCGCTTCTGGGTGTGGGCTGCTAATGCTGAAGCTCCCATAGGGAAAGGACATGGAGGACTTTATGCATCTACTTCTGCCAGATCCTCACTGCTGCTCCTGCAGCTTTCACAGCCTGGGTACAGGCCACCTCGTCCTCTGTGGCAGCCCAGGGTCAGAGACACAAAGGTCACTTTACCCTTCTGCCACTCAAAGGGAGCCACATCTTGCAGCACCCTACCCTACTTGCCACCTCACTACTCAGCAATCACGAGGGGAAGAAAAGCATGATCCAAACTTTCAAGCTACTTCCAAGCAGTTTGAGATCTCCAAGAACACCATGCAACATATTAGTGGGCAGATTAATCTGAGGATCTACAACAAAGGATGTATTAGAGAAAAGAAAATCTCAGTCCCATCTAGAATGGTCACATTAAGTATCACTGTTTAATACTTAAACCAGTGGTTTCCACAGTCATCTTTTAAAAACTGCTTTAATTTATCTTATTTGACTCTACTGAACTACAGGCACAGCTTCATTTCATGGTCTTGGGGACAAATTCCCTACTTTCTTTTCTTCAACTTTTGATTACTCTTCTCTTAATATGGCTATGACACAGCAAACCAAAAATAAGAATTATCTTAAACTACTGGGTTTGGAGACTTCCCCCCCCCCCCCCTTTGTCACATGCTTTTACCCCAGAAGGCAGAACTGTCCATGCCAGAAACTCCACACATTGTTTGGTGTTATAAATATTTTTTAGCCTCTTATCAGTAAGGTATTCTTGAGACCAAAAAAAACTTACTTACATAAAAACAAAAGGAGGAAACAGTGCAGTCTGTAAGGCAGGAGAAGACAGTGTTAAGTGAAGAAATACAAATACAGACATGTCCCTAAAACAACACAAGAGAATCCAGCATAAGTTTAATACAAATACAAAGGGAAGAGCATTTATCAGTGTTAGCGATAATCCCTTTAGTAAGTGCACATGGCAATCCCAACCACTTCAAAAATGGACAGAAAAATACTTTTGAAAGAAATTTGCAGCACTGAGTCAGAAAAGTTCAGATCTTCTCCCAAGCTGCTATTTTAGTTTTGGAAAAAGCAGTAGAGTCATTGTCTCATCTACTCAAAAACAGGCAACAACATAAAAACCCCTGTATTTTGGCAACAGCACATGTTCAGTAGTACTTTTCACGTTTCCTACACTTTTGCTCCTGAAATTCAGGGAACATGCCATGTAACTAGACTTGGACACTTTCTTGTATCTTAATACTCCTTATTTGAATATTCCCTTAACGCTGTCGCTATTACCTGTGGTAAAATCTCCTGAGACATCTAGAACTGCTGCCTACTCCCCATTTGCCTACCCCAGTAGCTTGAAGCACAGCTCAGTCATTAATATAAGAATACAGAATAATACAGAGCTGGTGAGGGATTTTCTTCATTTTTTGGTTTGGATGAATAGAGCAGTTTTTTTGGGAAAAAAAAACAAACCACAAACCAAAACGACAAAACAAAAAACCCAAACAAACAAACCAAACAAAAAATATATCTATTATATAGTTCCCCCACAGGAAAAAAATAGATATCTTTTTTTTCCTCCCAGTTTTCCATTAGAAAACTTAAAATTAAGTGATTTTGTTTTAACAGAAGTCAACACCAATCTGAACCCTCGGCAAGCTCTCAATGGATTTGTTGCTCAGCTAAGAAGCATGGGCCATAGAAAGAAAAAGGGTGAGAACGGAGGCCCTTGTTGCAACATATTTGAAAAGTACAGCCGGTCAGGGGACTGAACTGCATCTTAACATTGAAGCAAAAATAAAACAGACATCCTTGAATTAAAATTCTTCAGAACTTTCCATGCCAGAAACCTCCCCCCCTGGCCAGCCCACAATAAAAGTCTGAAAGTATGGGAACTTCCCACATGAAATTCAGATTTCTGGCCAGCTGCACTTTTGAAATAGAAGTTCATAAATAAGAAACCCCCTGGTTTGATATGAAAAATAAAATTTTTAGAGCAGTGCTGAAATTGTAGATACTCAGCCTGACTTCTGTTTGTGTATATACACATCCAAACACATTTGTGAGTTAATGCAAGTACAGAGGAATGTTACAAACCTGCATTCCTCCATTGTGTGCACAAAAGGTAAGTGCGTTGCGAGTGCAGAGAAGCAGAGGCTGCATGGTCAGAGACAGGGGCTCTATCCAAGAAAATGCACCCCATGATCAGCCAAGCACTGATTCCTGGTAACACCTGCAGATTTCTGGGTTGCATTTTACCTACACTCTCAATAGCATACACACCACAGCTGTCTTATGGTATTCAATCCTTGGCCTCATGCTTGCTCTTTGGAAGGAAAACCACCTTACATTGGAGTCCTTTGATGAAGGACCACATAGGAATACTGCTTTTTGCCTGTTATCAGGCACTGATTGGCTCTATTTGCTCAAGTACTCAGAAACTTTTCATCTGTCCTTTCACCAACACCTGAATCCTTTTGCTCATGCTAAAGGCTGCTGTTTACCAGCAAAACAGACTGGAAAAGGTCAGCCTCCTAGATCACTAACTCCAAACCTCTGCTGCTGCAAGGAAATATGTCTCAATTTTATTTATAAATGCATAATGACTGGCTGTCCTCCCAGCCGCATCCTGAATACACCACATTACTCCATGGGTGCCCAATACAGAGACAGACCATGATCTCAGATTACATTCAAGGATATAGATTAGTTGCATTAAAATGAGACTGATAGGGATGTATGTGCCTGCTCATACTGTCTTTCTCCTGATGAAAAGGGAGAAAGCACAACACAGCCACAACAGTCTTATCTTGTTAATGACTTCTTGCAAGAACTGTGCCATTTGTCTTTAGGGGCTGGAGGTAGTGGGGCATATACTGAATCTGTCTCTCCAGCTTGGTCGCTGGAGTTTGCAGAGTTTGGAAGAGTGGAGGGGCAGGGAGGTTATGGGCTAGGTTGTTCAACTCTGCTACACGGTATTTCAGCAATGTTCATTTTGAGCAAAGCATCCATTGTGCCAGGCTGCTTCCCCATGTGTCAGGAGCCCTGCTGTCCCCTGACAACTTCTCCTATGAGATTAGGTTGCTGGGGAAACAGCCAGAGCATGCCTGCTATAAGGAGCAAACTGTAACAACCTATGCAACAGGTAAAGGTGGTGCTGGGCAAAAACAGGGGCCTGGAAAGCAGGGTTAACCTGCACGGGCTTGTCCCCACTTCAAAAGTTTGCCCTGTTTGATACAATCAGGGGGATATAGCTGGTTGGTGTGATGCTGAGTGCAGATACAGATGAGTCACGTTCAACACTGTCAGGTAGCGTCAGTAAAGTCATGGTCCTTGCACAGCACTCCCACTCCAGGGAGTGCTAGTCTTGGCACACCCTTCACAACCCCATTCAGAAGCAAAACACAGGACAAGGACCAAAAAGGTCTTAAATTCAGTTTGATTTTTCTTTTGCATCTACTATTTTAGCCAGTGACATATACAAATATCTTCAGCTAGAAGCTTAAATACTGCTCTTTTAAGACAAGCCAAGAAAATGAAGCAAGCACTAGCAGACTGAGAGGACAGCTCTATTCTCTCTCATAATGACAGACAGAATTGAAGGTGAAAAGAGTCAGCAGTAGGGGAAAAAAAACATCTAGCCTAGCAATCTCATTCACCTCTGGTTTCCTATCTTCTCATTCTATTAAAACTGAAGGTTTCTAATATAAAAGCTGCGCTGGTTTTACCTGCGGACAGATCTGTGCTCAATAAATAGCTGTGGTGGCAGAAAAGTAGCTGACTGCTTCCCGTTCATCGCCACCTGCGGTGCGGTCCCTCTGCCGCTTCTCCCACATTAGCTGGCAGGTTGTTGGTACAAGTGTGCACTAACTTGTTTCAGGTAGCCAAGACTGACTAGTCAAAGCCAGTCCATGCCATTGGCAGAAAAGGAGCATGCTATTTCATAATTTTAATGTTGTTTTATTCTTGAATCTTTCATTATTCATCCCTCTTGCAATGTAACAAACAAGAGCAAGTTTGGGGTAATGCCTGGTTTTAACACGAAGTAGCAGTAACACTGAAACCCTAACTATGTTTTCACTCCTAAGCAATGTGTAGGACGCTAAGTGCTGCCTACGCATTTTCAACAATGGAGAAGGAAAGAACAGTACAGAAGTGCTTTAAAGATGAACTTCACTCCATGTCTTTCAATGCTGTTACAGAAATTTTGTCACTCTGCCATAAAACATCTCACAAGTCACAGTATACTAATAAATACTGGAACATGCACAACAAAGCCAGTTTGTTGAGTGAGATTCTTTAATAGCCAAAATGAATACTTATTCAGCCATCAGTTACACCAATTAAAGGCACTGTGCACAGCTAATGACAGTGGATGCACTCCTGTCTTTCAGAGTTATTTGATCTCTCTTAGGAATTTGTTCTTTACCATAACGAAAGAACACATAAAGCACTACTGCTATTTGTATTATGAAGCAGTAATTTATGTAAGCACAACAATTTTAAGTTTAAATTGTAAACAAAAAAAGCTGGAGAACGACCGTCTTTGCCAAGCAGGAAGCCTGAACTTCATGTATGAAAATCCATTGTATTGTGGAACAGAAATTTTGGTTAATTTTATGTTTTGAGAATGTACTGACCTTGCACTAACATTTAAAGTATAATTCAGTGCCTACCTTGAACTCTACAAAATAACTGACTGCTTTTGCCAGCACAGTCATCACATGCCTTAATAAGCACACACACATATGTACATAACCCATAAATCACATAAGTATTACACATGTACTTATCAAGTCACCCCTCTTTACCAAACGGGCCTGGAGTAAAGAAAAACCTAAATATACAACATCATTTCCGATGGTATGTTAAGAGAAATCCACAATACTGGCATGCCAAAAGACATCTTTAAACACTGCAAACATGCATTTTGAAGAGCTATTTCCTGCCAGAACTTTGTTAAAAAAAAGTCAGTTGGCAGTGTTTGAGGGCAAATTGCAGGCATTCCTGATGGATTTAACTTTCTTTAGCAGACCTGTTATCAGTCTCATCAAGACTAAGTTAAGACTCAGCAGTAATTGCTGGGAGTTATCCACAGGGCTATAACAGGCATTGGATCAGAACTAAAGAGAGACTGCTTCTCACAGAAGAAATCCCTAATCAGAAAGGGGCTTTTCATTCACCGTCTTGAGCACTTCAGTAGGTCTGAAATTAAGAGACTGTAAGTAAACTGTATCTTTTTATTTACAAAGTATATAGGAAAAACCTTTCTAGAATTCGTTAGGAATACTTCACACCATTTTCTATAGCCTTTCTGAACTCCCCTTACATACCATAATCACACATAGCAAGTGAAGGGCTCTCAAGTCACAAAACTCTTACTCGGTCCTTCAAAACATCCCATTCTCTCCAGAACAACTCACTGCAAGCGAGGTTACAGCAGCACCAGCAGCATGCTAAGCACTTCCCAGAAAACTAAAGCAGCATCCCCTCCCTGAAAATGCTGTTGGAGTCATACTGCACCCACCTGCTCCAAAACACTACTATCCTCATAAGAACCACAGCAGCTGGAGAGGAGGTAAGGGAAGAAAAGGGACATACGGCACCTTGCAGTAGTCAGACACAAGCAAGAGCTATCCAGGCTCCAAGCCTGCCAAAGAAAGATCATACATGTCATGGGCCACATTAAAATGGATTTTAAAAGCCATCTAGGTTGCAACAACCCAAATACATGCCAGATTCTGCCCATCACTACAGCTGCAAGATAAGAGAACATGACATTTTCACAGCAGTCATCAGTACACTTATCAGTCCAAAGCACTGACACTACCAAAAAGCATTTACAGTTGCAAAATCCAAGAATGCGTGTAATCCTTCTATTGAGCTCTCACAAAGACTCTTCTGGGAACTGTTTAGAGGCAAAAGATTCATCAGATATGCCACAGGATATAAAAACAAAGCAAATAGTTCTTTCCATGTGAGAAACAAGTTCGTACATGGACAAAACAATAGCAATACTATTATTGCCACCCAGGCTTCAGAGAGAACACTCTGTCATTGGAACTCGCTGCTTTACAAGACAGACCAATACGCTAAGAACACAAGGAAAGGAAGATAGCAAAGGAAGCCTTGAACTCAGGAGGTAGGATAATATTTCAACTCTTTCATATAACAATTCGGCTGAAAAATCCAAAACTTACCTGCTGTAGCTTTCGGAAAAAACCTATGAAGACATCACTATTGGTAATATTTGAATCCAAAGTAACTGAAAAACAAGAGGAAAAAGGGGAGGGAGGAAACCAAACATCCAAAAGATGAAAAACATGGCTAGTGTCTAAAACAAAGATGTATACAACGTGACTGTTAGTTAAACAGTCAGTGCTACTTTACTCATCCTTTGGTTTCTGCACAGCTACCTTTACTAGCCTGTTGTTAAATCACTGAAGCTATGAACAGTGCAAAATACATGTAGTGTTGCTATTCTCCCAAAGCAAGACTACAGTAAAGTTCTTGGCCACGTAACTCAATGGTCACTCATGGCCAGTAACTCTAAAAGGAACTGTTGAATACTCAAGTGAAAAAGATAAAATAATCACTAAAATTTAAGACTAATCTTGAGTTTCTGTAAGTCTTAGCACAAAGTATCTGAGGCCAGAGGCTACAAAATCTCTTTAAGCTCAGCCCCTCACACACACTTCTTTTTGGGTAGTTGAAATAGTTATATTTTTTTTATTTCTTGGCTTACATGAAACTCATGAGACACATTCTAGGGATCATGCAGACCTGGTTTACAACACAGCACATTGTGCCTGATATTTAATTTTTCTACAAACTCTTGTTATAATTCTCACAAGTCTGCCTGGAAACCCCTTAAGGGAAGGGGTTTATGCAGAGCCCAGTTCCTTATTACACTTCTACCAGTCCAAGTGCCTGTCTTTTTTGCCTCCCTCTTTTACCCACCAGCCATGAGTTCTCACACCCAGCCCCATGTCAGCTCTGGCAGTTGTGAAGCAGCAGGGATGGGTGGCTCAGCTCACTGATCCGGAAGAACAGAGAATGGACAGACTACAGGCTGCCACCAGAAGGCCCAGCTGGCTTAAGTTTAGTGTGAAACTGCACCCTTACGTTTTGGGAAAGCTGCAGAAAGGCAGCCACTTCAGAAATAAGATAAATATGATATGCTGCTCTTCTAGAGCCAGTGAACCAACAGACAGGACAGGGCAGCAACACTTAGCCCCAGCCTTTTAGATACACCCTTACTCAGCTCAGTATAGAAGGTAACCCACCCTGCAGTCACAATTGTAGACACATCCTCAAAGGTTTAAGCCCTGCGTATGAAAGCTTATCAGGTTGTTATAGCCAAGCTTACCATTCTGAAGATACTGCTCCAGCTGAGACCGCCTCTCATCTGCCATTGACTTGGTCATTGCCAGGTAAAACTTTGGAGGGAAAGCAGGCACAGCACTCCCAAAGAGATGCCTCAGCTGCAAAACAGCCAAAGGAAAGCTCCGCATCAGTGAAGAAGCATTCATAGTTTCCAAGGAGCTTTCAATGCTCTCTTATTTTGACAGCGAGACATGATGACCTACAAAGGGCATGGGGTACCCACCCAGCACCTCCCTGACAGCCCTCAGGACCCACAGCGAGGGCAAAGCCTTTGCCCGGGCAGCCACCAGAACACAGCCCAAGTGAGCAACCTCTTTTGATGGATTTCTCATTTTTACAGTCTTACCACTTCTGAGCTCCTGCTCCGAGCCAGAAAAGTAGCATTGTATTACCCTTACCAGCTAGGTCTTATACACCTCATGGACAAACAAGATATGGTTACAGATGTCTTCTCTTCCCAATACGTCCATACAGGATTCTGTGATCTATACCCACAGAACTACTTTTTAAGAGCTTGTGAATTCTGCCCTTGACTTGTGCTACCTCAGAGGCTTTTATTATTTTGTCCATGAGAGGTTATAACTTTTATCAGATCATTTAATATTGTCAAAGGAAAAAAAAACCAAAACAAAACACAAAAACCAGAGAATCTTTCAGGAACACAAACTATCTGAAAGTTTGATTCTTCCTCCAGCTATATCAGCTGGCTAATAACAGCATAATGTCTCTGTACAAACCCTACCTCATTTATAAACAGACCTGAAAGGACTAGAGAACCACAATTACATTATCTTACAATAACATAAGATAGTTCCAATATAGATTTGGGCAGTAGTTGGTCACTTGGAAGTGTAAAAATTCTCTGCTATAGGCAAATTATCTCAAGAGAAGGATGAGCTATGTTTACCTTCCTAATATGCACATTACTAAACACAGCAAAAATATAGCAAGTTTGCCTGGAAACATTCCTTCACCTAAATCAAAACAATATGGCATCTGATCAGTAAAATGAGACTCCTATAGTATGCTGAGACATTACTACTGATTAAGTTTTAAGCACCAGTATTCAACTCAGCAGTTAGCGTCACTAAATCCTGTGAAAGATGACATTTTCCCTCTGGCCCCAGCTGCCCAAGTCTTTCACGTGACTCCAGCTGCTGAAGCTTGAAGAGAAAAAAAAAAAATGTTTACTACTGCAAGAATTAGCAATACCTTTTTCCTACCTGTTTGGCTAAAAACAGGAGTGAGGTATGTTCTCACAGCTCCACTTCCCCTACTTTGGCAACACGCTGCTATTTCTGAGTTCTTGATTATTAGATATGCGTGAATCACTCTGAGATACACAGCATGAAAGAGTTAGATAACACTACATGCTTTGGTTTTATGTAAAGCTAACAGTAATAGCTAGTATAGAGTGCTTTTTATCTTCAAATTCCTTCACATATATCATCTTCCCCCAGGGACTGAAAAATATTATCTCTGCTCTACAGACAGGCAAACCGAGGAGATACAGCAAAAAAATTTGCCAGAAGTTGGAAAGCCAGAGCCACACTGACAACAAGGAGGTCCTCTTTCTTCCCTCTGCGTTCAGGCCATGCCTCACCTACACAAAGTGGTGCCGTCTTATCATCAGCTTGCACAAGCCAAGACTCTGGCCTACTTAAAAAAAATAATTAATTAATCTCAGTGCCAGCTGCTTGATAAGTTTCTTGAAATACAATTGTGTGTCCTCAGGATTTGGGCTACAGAGAAGAGAAACTTCTCCCAACTGATTAGACTTTTTCGCATCTCAAAGAATTAAAGAAAAATGCCCATAAACTTTAAGTGTGTCTTTGTGTACAGTGCTGAAAGTCCTCCAGAATATCAGCCACCAGCATGAAATTTAATTCTAGCACAATGAAACTAGCCAATATTTGTCTTCACAAACCCAACAGCCTAGGCTACATTTTAAATGTAAGTCAACAAAAACACTGTACCTGGTGGTGCCAGGTGTCAACTGCCTGCTGCCCTGCCAGGCCATCACCACCATAAGACATGGGCACCCTACCCAAAATCTGTTTCTGACCATTTTTTTTCCGAGGCTCTGGGTTTGTTTCTGCAACCTAAAGCCACTCCACAGAAGACATGTCTCAGCACCAAGCCAGGGTGCCACGAACTTCTTAAATGAAGTTTAAAAAAAAAAATTTTCTATATTTAATTCCTTTTTACCAATTGTTTTATCGTGATTAACAGATTTTTTTAGAACTATTTTCTCAACAGTCATTCATACCAATCACAGATGTTGCTAACTGACTGAGTAGAGGCTGGCATCATGACCAGAATCCATCAGCGTGGCATTTCACTCAGTTCTACAGAGGATGCTTCCTATTTACTCCCTGCCTTGAAGTAAACCAGTGGATACAATTGCAAGAAATAATCTGTTCTTTTCAGTCCTACAACAAAACATCGGTTCGTTATTATGATATTTGTTTAGAGAGCGACATGATAAGCATCTGCCAAACTGAAAAGCCAAATGCAAACATCACCACAACACAAAGGTGGAAACCATGGACAGCCTGTGTCTTCAGCAACTGTTCAATTTCGAGGAAATCCAGTAATTTAATTAGTGCACAAACCACTGCCCAGGTAACCTCTAGCCCCACTCTAGAAGTTTCTGTCACTTGTATATTCTTAGAAGAGAGCCTTACCGCTCCATAAGCGGAATAAAGACCCACAGCTCTATTAGGGGTGCTCTGGTCAGTGTGCAGTCCCCACAGAACTAAAGCCAGAGGAGAACACGGCTACAGTACAGAGCAGTCCCCAGCTGTCCTTCTGTAAATCTAGGGCCAAAGCTTAGATCCTTAAAACACACATCCATCTGCCATCGACACTCCTGCTGAAGCTGTTCACAGTCATTTGCAGAGAATGGCTACACAAGCCTTAGTTCAGCAAGTGCAAACAATAAGGAATGCTGCCCAACGTGTACGGCGTTCATCCCGAGCAAAGGGAGATTGGTGCTTCAGCTGTCCTTCCTACTGCTAATACTTAATACCTAAATCCTCAAGACAGAAGAGGGAACGAAAACTGGATTTCCCACAACTGAATGCTCTAGCTCCTAAAAGAAGGGGCAAAAGGGGACAAGGCAGAGCCACCTCTGGACCCTCTTACAGCCAACACAAAGCCTCATCTCCCAGAAGGTCAAGGGAGTAAATCCTCAGACCAAGACAGGCAACTTCTGGCAATCCACAGCCAAGTGCCTATCTCCACAAGAGGAGGAGGGCTAAAGCTGCACTGCTCTCCTCAACATTTCTGCCAGCCCTGCCTAAGCAACTGCTTCTAAGCAAGATCTCTTTTAGGATATTATTCTTGGTTGTTCACACCTCCCGCTATACCATTTGCCTCAGGTGCTCAGCTTAAGGCCGAGAATCCCATTTGGAGGTAAGGCACCTAGAGGAAAGGAAGTGTTGCTCAGTTAGTATACCTGCACCTCCCCATTCAACAGCGTATCTGAAACCTTATGCTCCATCACACTACACTGCCTCTGAACAGTTGCTCCCTTCAGACAGTCCTTTTGTAAAGAACAACTGCTCTGGGAGACAGCAAGGAACAGAATTTGGAAGTGTCAAACAACAGAAGCGTTCTCAGAATATAAAGTGATGGGGAGCAGGAAAATGCACAGCAAGAGAAAAGGGGCAGGTAAGGCACAGCATCACAAACAAAAATTATGTGTCCTGATTTTGTATCACAAGTTAGAAGAGGAGCTTGTAGAGGTGGAATAGCAGTGCTTTAGAAATTGCCACCCTGAAGGAGATCAGAGGCACAACTAGTCCAGCATCACATCCAACAGAGGTCAGAGACAGATCCTCCAGAGTAGTGTTCAAGAAATACCGTCAAGTATAATCATGCAGAAATCCGTCCATGGGGGAAGCTTATTTTTAATTCATGTCCCGCATCCATCACAGAATTGTTGCATCTGTGAGGCTTTGTGGACACTGCATGTGATCTGGTCTGGAGGGTGTAATTACTGTATCCTGAAGTTTAAGACTTCTTGTACATGTGCATTTTTCTACTTTAACAGAGTATTGCAGGCAAAATAAGCAGAACAGGATATAATAATTATAGATGAGCAACCTCACATAAATATAGGGAAGACAATTAAGGGACAGCAGTGTAGTAGTAAGCTTCAAGACCAAGTATGGCAGCTACCAACAGCAGGAATGAAGGAATTAAAAATAAAAAAATCAGCTAACGAGTTGTAAAGCCCAGCAAGAGGCAAACTGTCAGTTACAGAGGATGCAGAGAAGGGAAAGATTTTGCTGAGAGCATTAATGAAGTTAAAATCTCTTGAGCAAGAAACAGCAAGCCTTAAAGAAAAAGCAAGCAAATACATAAGCTGGTTTATTAGTTCAGATATGTTATCCAAAATGCTCATTAAACAAAGCAAAATATTACCATGAGAGCTCCCACAGGGAAAAGAATTGCAGAGCTGGGGCACAAGAGCACACCTCAGCAAACATTGCTTCCCATGGCAGCCCTACTGCTGACTTAACTGCCGTTTAGCTGTGCTACTCCAACTGCTTGTGCAGTCACACAGAGTTGGGAGAGATGGACCGATCCCCATCAGGGACTACCTGGCTGAAAAACTGCTCCAGAGTGGTCCCATCACTGCAACTGAGAGTACAGCAAGGAAGCTGCCAGAAGAAGCAGCATCTACCTAACCCACTACCACAAGAAGCGTTCATCAAACAAGGCCCTAAAATAGGGTTGTCAAGGTAAAATAAGGCTGCTCGGCAGGGATGACAGCGTGCACCCAGGCTGATGGAAGAGCTGGGAGAGATTTCGCTTGGAACCAAGGTCTGGCAAAGGCCAGAGAGATCAGGCTAGCAAAGAGAAGGCTGGAGGCTACTCTGCTTCCACGGAAGAGTTCAATGTCACATGCTCCCTTTTATCTTCCTAAGGAAACCAGAGGAAGGATAGAGGGGAAAGGAACAGAGGCAACTCAGACAAGAAACAAAACAAAAGCAGAGATAAACAGGCAGATTCACCCCAAAATAACCCA